ATCATTGAACGTGGTGATGTTAAAGTTGAAAAGGTAGATGGAAAAGAGAATGTGGCAAACCCCTTCACCAAGGCACTTGGTATAAAGGAGTTTGACAAGTACAAGTGATGGAGGGCCCTCCATAGAGACCTCACATATAAAGACCATTGGACCTTTAACTAGGTCCATGGTTAGGAGGCTAGATGAGGCTTTTACAGAGGAGGTGTTTCTTAGACCTACACTCTATATGAGCATTGAGTATTGTGAATAACCAATTTTATCCGGATCTAAAAAGCAATAAAATGGACGTCTATTATGAAGAGAAGGAGCTCCCAAAGTATGGAGTCAATACCATATGACAACAAGGAAGCTTGAGGCCCATACAAGTGGGTTTTAGGAGCCCAGAACGGGCCGTTCCAAAATCAGAACGGGCCGTTCCAAGTTACAAAAAAGAGCTAAATGCCTAACTGAGAACGTGCCATTCCAAAAAGGGAACGGGCCGTTCCAAATCAAGAAAAAGGCCTAAAATCTTAATTTGGAACGGGGGTTCCAAATTTAGAACGAGAAGTTCTGATTTTAGAACAAGCCGTTCTGAATTTAGATCAGCCTGTTCCAGGTTCAAATTTAATTCATAGATGGATAATCCAGAATGGATCGTTCTGGTCAAGTTTGACGTCTATAAATAGCCAACTCAGACACTATTTTCGAGGCCAGAAAATTTCGTCCAAGACTCCTTAGAGCTCAAAAATTTCTCTTTCTTTCTCCTCTGTATTTCTTGAGATTTTGCGAGGAATATTGTAGTGTGTTAGGTCGCCAAAAAGTGCCTAATAGATCGTCATATTTGAAGATTCAACAAGTTCAAGCCTCTCATTTGGTATCATTTTTTATTATTTATTATTTATTATTTTTTTATTTTTTATTTAATAATTATATGTACATAGTGAATATGATTTGTTGTCTTTAAAATAATTTTTTAAAAAGTATTTAATATACGACAAATAATAATGTTAATTAATAACATTTTTATCTTTAACATTATTTGGTTCTAGGGATTTAATGACTAGTCATTTGCTAGCTTAAACTCTCTTGTACAAAATTTATTTTTAAAGAATAAAGATATGTTGCAACCAATAACGTTAATTAAGTAGCACTTCTATTTTTAACGTTATTGGAGGGATTTATTGATTAGCTATTTGCTAACTTGAATCCTTATGCAAAATCTATTTCTTTAGATAAAAATATAAACATAATTTTGCTTCATGTATACTTATTTTTATGGTTAATGTTATTAATTGAGTAGCACTTCTACCCTTTAATATCATGTAAATCATAAAAGTTAATAGAATAATTATTCATATTCCTAAGCTTTAAGCATAATTTAGTATCAACAAATAAAAATCAATAACATTGATTGAATAACAATTCTATCTTTCATGTTATTGGAAGGTTTTATTGATTAGCCATTTGCTAACCCAAATCCCTATAATTTTCTAATAAAAATACAAAAAAAAGGCATGTCACATTTAAATAAATAAATAAATAAATATATATATACACATTTTTGAGGAGTAAATTAAATGTTTATAAATTTATATAATTTTGCGCAATTAATTAAAAGTACTATTTTTATAGGTGTCGTAGGGTATTAATACATTTCCTACATGTAATTGACTCTCGAACCCAACTTTGATTTTAAAGATTATCTATTAAAGGGTTTTCCAATGTTTTTCCCTTAAATTAAAATATTGGTGGCGGCTCCATTGAAAAATAATGTTTGCGTCATCCCGTCGTGATTCCGGTTACGACAAGTATGATTCCTCTTATTAGTTCCTTGGTCTATATTGTACACACCTTGTATTGTACTTTGTATATAGTAGATACTTGTATAGGTGTATTTTACCTTTGTATTTGTAAAACACCTTTACCTTTCTTTGTAGGTCATACCTTTAGGATTTTAAGGTATGTTACTTGGAGACCTTTACTCCATTTGACCTTATATTAAGGGTCATAGATTTTCATAATTTTAGTATTAGTAGTGATGTAGTAAATAGCAAGTGTGTGAGTGAAGCTAGCAATTGGGCCCTTAGTGGGCTTAGGCCAATTTTACATATTAGGTTTGTTTTTCTCCATTTAATCCAAGGAATTAATTTAGCTAGGTCTCACCATCATTTGGTGAACCTAACTAAACCAATTCAAAGATTTTTGGATCGAATTAGATGGAGGAAATCAAGCAAGGCTGCCTAGCCTCTCCATGGCCGAGTTTTCCTTGCAAGCTTCTCCAACACACTATGGTTTCTTGGTTAAGCAAGGGGATAAGGTGACACTTGGTACTCCATGATTGACTCTTCTAGATATAAGTGTCCCATTCTTGTCTCCTAGGAGACAAGTTGACATTTGGCATTCTATGATTGACTAATTTAGATTTAAGTGTTCCTACTGTATCTCTTCCTTATCTAACTTGCACTACAAGCTACTCCACCACTATATATAGGTTATCTCAATTGTAAAATTCACTTTTGATCATTTGTATGAGAATTTACTCAGATTTCTCTCTCTCAAAAGTCCTAAATTTTCTTTGATTTTCTTTCAATTCTCTTATCCTTTTCCTAAGAGTGTGGTGAGAGTTGAAGTGGTTTATCTTCTACCTAGAAGTGGCACCACTTGAAGAGAGTTCTTCACCTTCTAAGGTGAAACTAGAGGTCTCTACCTCCATTGGAGACCTTGAAGAAGCTTAAGGAATGTCAAGAAGCCAAAGATCTAGGGAGGAACTTGAAGGAGAAGCCATATCAATTCGATTCCTCCATTAGGTTTCCATCAACAAGTGGGAAGTGGAAATGAGGTACATGACTGATTGGCTCTAGTGCAAGTGGGAGATTGTTGGAGAATAATTAGGTGTTCCCAATATCCAATCTATCATGTAATCAATTTATGTTTTTGATTAATTCCTTGATTAAAATTATAGACGTGTTATCATGATAGAGATTATGACAATGAGAAAACAAAGTCTTTTACTATTTTAACATAAATTGTTCTTAGTCATAAGACTGTTGTAAATAAGACAATAAGAATCTAGATTGACCAATATAAATGTAAATGTCTTTATTGGATAAAAATTAATATATCTCATTTATTAATTACATATGTAGATGATGCATATGTAAGTATGATCATTTGAACAGACTCAATTGAGAATTTCTAATGATTTGTATTACCTTAAATTGTCAATAAAAAATTCTCAAGGAGAAATTAAATAGTTTTATTTAACTTAAGATTATCATAGTATTTAACAAGTGGTTTATTATATTCTAATTGTGGACACCTAATGCCTTAAGGTACTAGTTGAATAGAAATTGGACATAATTAAATGCTTTATAGAATTGATGATTTATCAAGAAGGAATCCATCAACTCTAGGTAACAAGTTTTGACTCTAGAATAAAATTATATCTTAGACTAGGAATATTAAATATAAGAAAAAATGAGTTTCTTAAGTATATGTTAATTTAATAGAGTTTGACAGAAAAAATCATACTCTGAAGTTAATCAGAGCTATATGTTAGAAGATAATTATTTTTATTATTCTTCTATTAGTTCTTAGAAGTAAAATATTACTGCATGTTATTTGGGTTTTAACGAGTATTATTAGATGTCTATCTTGATTAATATATTAATTTTATTAATATATTACCAGCTTAGTATTGAACCTCCAGAGTCACACACAAACGAATGTTCTAATCTTTCTTATTAATTACTCTAATATTTGATTATTAAATTAGCAAATTTAATTATATCAAATAAATAAATAATTTTATTTGTGAAATATTATTATATTTTTTACTAGCACCGAAAATATAAACGATATAGATAAAATTATTTAAAATGCTTAAAGACATAGTAGAATGGTCTACATTTGAAAAAGGAAAGAAATGAAAGATTAAATATTTTTTAAATTGAAAAATTGGTTAAAGATTTGAGAAGATTTTGTTGAAATTAATTTTTAACACATCTCCAAATAGATAGGCATGCATATCAAAATAAAAACCACCCATAATCTGTTTTTTATTTTGAGAGAAGTTTGTTTTACCCATTGACTATAAGAAAGGCATGGGTTTTAAAAAAAAAATTAAAAAAAATATAAAAACTTATTTATCTTCAATTTCTCTCTCTTCCATTAAATTCTTTTGATTCTTCATTCTACTCATTAAGATTGTTGACAACAGAATTTAATATCCATATAAATACACGTAAAGTCTTCATACTATTTGTGTTTTATTTTTATGATTCAAGAGCTCATCGAGTACAAATTTTTTGTTTTATCTTTACATAGTATAATTTATATCCAAACATGCATCGATCTTCTTTTATTTCACATATATAAGTTATGAACACTAATTTTTTTTTTGGAAAACTCTACGGTAGCCATGGTATCGGAACAGTCATATATATATATATATATATATATATTATAATTACTTGTTTTATTTTTATTTTTATTTA